CATTTTTCATTAGAAGCCATTGGAATCTTAGCTCCTTTTAGGCCTTACGAATTGATTTATCAGTATTGTATGCTTTTTGTTATGCTATTACTCTACCCTGTTGTGGTTTTGGCTTTACTCAGTCATTCATTTAGAAATTGGTCATTAAAAATACCAGAGGCTTGAAAGCACAATTAAATACATTTTCAAACACTAGCAAATGGCAGATGCACACAGTCCTGTATACAAAAAGTCTGTTTAGTAAATTTAGTATGCAATAGGCTAGCTGTAATTAATCCAGAGTCTCTGTAGCATAGGCAGTGGACTCTGGCACCTGCCAGAGGCCAGAGCTTTTGGGCAAGTGGTAGTTAATGCCTGAGGAGAGCTGCCTGTTGTTTGAAGGATCAAATTCGAGTGCAAACAACTGCTAAAAACTTTTTCTTTAAACAAGAGGTTTTCTAAAGCTTCCTGGTACATTTGCCACAATTCAGATATTGCAAGCTGTGAACCAGATTGTGCCACTCTTATGTAGGTCAAATAGTACCTTGCCTACACAGTGGGGTTGTCTCTTAGAGTGTAGCTCAAGGTAAATATAAAATGTGCTGTCTGGTCTGCACAGTGCAGGGGAAAGACACATCGAACACCTTGTCTGACCCCTGATCCAAACGTACTTGAAAAGTTTGGCTGATGCTTTTTCTCGGATTAAGAAGCTTACAGTGTTATGGGTCCACAACCTGGGTTGTTTAGGTTCTTTCCCATGTTTTTTCTTCATTTTGCATATGATCCCTGCAAATGTACACAGGAAAAGAATAAGCAAAAATTCTTGTCTGTGAAATTCTGCTTTTTGCCCAGTCTGGTAAGGAATTTCTCCTCTTGTCATGAAAACTACTATTTTTCTAGCTAGGCCACATTTGTTACTTTTTGTAGCTTAACTGTTTTCTGTGCATCATTGTACAATGAGTTGAAGCTACATTTGTTGAGTCCAGCGTAGTTACTCACTTTTCTGTTGCTTTAAGAGACAGACCCCTTACTGACAAGGAAGACAAACAGTAATTTGGTAGTCTTTAAAAGTTGCTCGGCAGAAATGTAAGCAGCACAGGGAACAACAAGGAAAACCAGCTTCCACATTTTTTGTTCTTTGAGAAGAGCATGCATGGTGGTTCTTAACAAAGAGGGGAAGAAACCTGCTCATGAGAGGACACAAAAGTCTTTGTGTAAATAAGCATGCCCTGGAAATGTCACTCACAAGCAACTTTAACATCCAAATATTTCTGTTCCATTCTGAGGTAATCAAATTTGTGACTCTTCATTTCAGATTTATCTTCCTTAGTTTTATTAAGATTTTGATTTCTTGAGATCTCCTTCACTTTAATTTTCTAATGATGTTTTCATTACTGTATTAATTGCTCTTAAAACTCAGGATGAAGAAATACTTTGCCTTAAGAGCTCCTGCCCTGAAGGATTTTACCTTAACAGATACCTCAGATGATGCTTAGCTGCAAGTTTCCGTCATGACAAGCTGAGGAGCAACATTCAGATTTTGATTCTTCCAATTTAGATGTTTTTCTCTTCTTCTCATCTAAGATTACTTTTTAAAAAAAGCCGGTAATGACAGCAGCTCTCAAACTGAAGAGAAAGTCTTTTTCCTTATCTAGATGTCATACCACTTCATACTAAATCTGTCACCAGCACATCCTTGCTGCCCCCTATTGCCTCCAGGATGATAGGCTTTGTGATTAATAGGAAAAAGAGCAGCCTCTCCTCACCTCAGAGTATGGGAGTAAAAATAGTCTCAGTGTGGAAGACACTTCTCAAACAGAGGGGTTTTTTTTGTCCTCAAACCTATTGGGGCTGTTGTACAAGAAAGGAGATGGGTGGGGTTTTACTGCATACACATATTGTTTGCATTTCAAGGTAATGTATCATACCCAAATGGTCACAAAGGCTAATATATAACCTCGTGTCTTGAGAAAATTCAGTCCACACAACAAGCATCAGAGTTGCTCTCTGCTCTCTTCAGCTTCAGCTTTGAATCTGCTTTTCAGGTTCAGTCAAATTTGAACTTAAGTTCATAAAAACTTAATGAAAATGGGCAGCTGGGTAAAGAGGATAACTGTTTTCCCAGCGAGGGAAAGGAGGAGCCCTGTCTGTATCGTGTACTAGGGAATCCCATGGGGGAGAGCTTTTATCATGGCTTCAGAAGCAGGAAAACCTTTGATCAGTGCTTGCTGCCAGAGAAGCCAACTGCAAGATGCAACACCTTGGGAAGGCAGGGTTCATTACTGCACCATAAATACATCTCTTGGAAAGGCTTTGTTCCAGCCTGCAGTTTGAGTGTAGGCACTGCAAATGGGTGAGCAGCAGAGCCTCAGCCAGGGCACCACCTCAGCTCCCACTCCCACAGGAGGGTCAAGTTCCTGTGCAAAACGGGCTGCTCCCTGTGTGCTGCTTGTTCGTGGGGAGAGGCTGGTGGTAAGGCATGGCTAATGCTTCGTTTTGCAGTCAGACTAGGTGGTGATCTGTAAAAATTGCATTTAGCAAAACCCATTAGTGCCCCTGGCTTCCTCCCTATCTCTGTACATGAGGAAGCACTTAGGCAGAAGGGCAATCCTTTAATTCACAGGGAGAGCACACAGTGCAAGCACGCCTGTTCAGAGGAGAGCTGCTCATGCAGATGCAATCCTGGCAGCTTCTGGTGTGCTGCGAAGACACTATTTTATATTTACTTTTAATAGAAGGGATAAAGTAGAATAGTAATAATGGGACTGATAAATGAAAGAAAAACTGTAACCACATAATTATGTCAGAATCAACTAACAGCCGTGAAAAGCGGATTAAACCACATTATGCAGATAGATGTAACAGAATACTATTAGTAAGTCCTTTGCAGTGGCATGCCTGGCAATTAAGAGAGCCGTATTGGCAGCACACAGTGAAAACAGTGATAATGTATAGTTAAAAATGTTTGGAGACAAACAGTGCACAGAGTACAGCGACAGCCTAGAAGTGAATACTGAGGAGTGCCCTCAAAGATACCAGCACCCAGGAGGAAAACCAAAGATGTTATTCCTAATAGACTCTCTGACTAGGATGTTGGTCATATTTATATTTATCATCTAAATTAATTTACTGTCTTATCTATAAATGAAAGGCTGCAGTGCAGCAAGTAGTCTGTCTTTTCCGACTATCCACAAATTTCAGGTTGTGCAGGCTAACAGAGGAATTCCATTTTTTCTTTTGAGTTAAAGAACCTTGCAGAAATATTCTTATTTAAGCATTAAAAATATCGGTTAATGTTCCCATGATTGCAACTATTAAGAAAATATTTGGGAATGAGATACCTCAGTGTTGTGTATTCTTATGTATGTGGTATTTCCAGGTTGGGGACCTGAAGAATGTGTCACCCATGAGTTTCTTTCTTGCTGAAGTATTGGTATTTGTTGTTTCCTCTCACCCACCACAGGAAGAGTCAAAGTTCAATTCTATCCTTCACTTTCCCTCTGCCCACTCTTGCAGAGCAGTTCTCATCCGCAGTCAGGGAGAATTGTGCAGGAACAAGCTCTGAGATAACGTCAGTGCAGGTTCAGAGTTCCCACAGGCTTTATGGAAAGATACGCTTCTGCCAGAAACTAGTCCATGTGACTGTGGAGATCTCATCTAAGGGAATAAAACCTGGGGGAATATTTTGGTGTCAAAGGGTGAGCATGCTGGAAAGCTCATACTCCCTTTTTCTTCATCATGCTAGGCAGACTTCACAGGCATGTACCAAGAGAGTTTGCTTGCAGAAAACCAGCATGGATCCTTTAACTATTTATCCTACCTCTTGTTTTCAACAGGTTTGTGCAGATTTTCTTCTTGCTTTGTATTAGGAGATGGCTAAACTAGCGTGAAATGCAGGTAATGAGGTCAATAGCATCTGGGCCAACAGCAGTGCTTTCCTGAGCTGTTCTAAAGCAAAGAAAGGGAGAGAGCGTGCATGTGGTCACACTTTGATTACAGAAGCCAGGCAATATGTTTGTAAATGAAATTCTGTCAAAAACTTAAGTACTAGGGATATAAAATTAAAGAAATCTCTGCCAAACCAAGATTTATGATAATATATGACCAGGAGAAATGCCTTTACTTAAAGGAAGAAGGGAGACTGTAGGAGAAGACTGTCTGTAGAAGGCTAAAAATGTAATTGTACTCTGATGTTTACATTTACTTGAACTATTTTTCCTCATAATTTTATGTGAGAATGTTGATGCTTACAGAGTACTTTTTATGAGAGATGAGTGTCATTATCTCCCTTTTAACACATGAAGAAACTGACGCCCAGAAATTTGGGGTACCCTAGGTGAGGTACTATATCATAGCCATGGGGGAGGCAGGAACCCAACCTTTTGGTGTCCTAACTGGCTATACTATTTACTGGATCATGCTGGATTTAAGAGCAAAGTAAACTTAGCTACTGATAGTATTAAACACCTGTTGTTTCATCCTTTTATTTGAAGCTGGAGCATCATTTCTTCTCCAGTAGCAAAATAAATTCATTTCCTTTACCTTTTGCAGAACTCACAGAAAAAAAATTGTTCCTGAAGTAAGAAGCTATCACTGATAGTGTGTGCTCCTACACAATCCAGAAGAAAGGCTGCCTTTCCTCTAAATAAAATATAAAAAGAGTAAATAAAAACCACTCTAGCCCAGAGTAAAACAGCAACAACACCTATAACATGGTGTCACTTCAAAATTGTATCCATCCATGAAGTGTGTCATATTCTGTTATGGCATACAGCTCAGTCATACCCTGAATGTACAAATCCTGTTACAGCTTTTGCCTCCTCTTGGCTTTGAAGATAGAGCTTGTGTGTTTGCCTTTAGAGGACTATTGGTAGGAACGTTCTTGCCGTTGACAGCAATGCTGATGAGCTCAAGGCCTTCTTCTGGAAGAGTACCCCTCAGGGACTTTTACATTCTTGCTGCACACTTCCACAAATCCATCAGCCAAAATATCACTAACGATGTAACTTTTAATTTCACAGATGAAGGAACTTGGCGTCATCGTATACAACTGCAGCTGCCTGGTCCTGGATTTACAGAGGATATTTGCCTTGTATAGCTCCTTAAGATACAAGAATAAAGTACCTCCAAGTTGGTCTAAGAGACTATATGGAGTGTACGATACTCAAAATAAACTGACACTGCAGCTGAACGAGACCAAATCAGAAGCTTTTGTGTCGGTAAGTTCTGAAATGAGTTGCAGAGAGGGAGGGAAGGGAAGAAACTTATTTAACCCACCAGATTTTTGGAAGACCTGGAAATTTGACAAATCAAAGTATTATTTTTTTAATTCTGATTTCTGTGACATTTTTCATACATGCAGTTTGCCAGGACTGAAGATGCTGCAGGGTTTCATCTGAGTGTTATTCTTTTTCCCTTTCTCTGTAATGTTCACCACTTTTCCACTTGTGTTCAAAAATGATAGGGAAGCCCTTCAAATTAGATTCTTTTATTTACACTAGTAGATAGAACATGAATTACTTAGGAGTACATGAACCATTAATCAGACATAGAAAATAATAGAGAATAAGCTTGATATCAGAGCCTGCATTTTTATCGATGTAATTTACAAGGATTCACCCTGTTCCATTGAAAGCATTTGTACTTCTGTACAATATCATCTACTTCAGCTTTATTTTTAAATGACATTTTAAAACTTCAAGCAGTGATCCCCATGGAAGCACTGTCTGTGCATGTACTTTTAGTGGAAAGAAATGGAGCAGTCCTCCATCTCAGCAGAGATGTAGCAAAAACTGGAAAAAAGTACGCACTGATATAGAGATGATGAAAGATGGAGTGTCTTTCATTTTGGAGGTAATTACATGAGTATAAACAACTGCTTCAAAATCATGAATTTAACGAAGTTGCTAAGAGTTACTTTCCATTCTTTACAAAACAAGGGGCAAAGCCCTCATTGCTTTATAGCCAGTTATGTCTAAAAGAACACAAGGCATGTAGCATACTATTAAGTTGTACAGCCACTAGCATGGGACATTAATGCAGATGAGTGATTAATAAAGGGTAGGGTTTACCTTCACCTGCTGGGAGCCTGGCAATTTTCCACTGTCCAGGATTTTTCATACTCCTACAATCAGTGGAGAGACAGAGAACTATTTTGGAGTGAAAACCTGGAAGTGCCTAAGACAGCCAGAATTAATAGCTGTTTGAAAATATGGACACTTTCATTGATTCTGGAGAACCTTAAGGACTAGCTTAAATGAGAGACTGACTTTTGGACAGTTAGCAAACGCGCTGTGAAATTAAACCCTACTCCTTTCTAAGCAATCTGCAAGAAATGGAGAAATCTTGCTGAAAATCAGTCCTGCAGAGGCATACAGAATGGAAAGCTGGTTAAGGCCAAGTTTAAGCAATCCAGGATCCTCGACAAAGACAGGTGGAGAAAGACTCTACAAAAACTGGTTTTTTGCAGTTTGCAGAGTGTTCACTTCCTCCCTGTTATTTATATTTTCCTTTTCCTATCCCATCTATTCCTGTGAGTAATAGAAGCTTCTTCTCTTAAAATTTCACTTCACAAAACAAAAGGAAGGACTCGCTGGTACTCAGAAGCTCAGATCATTGAAGTCCAACTCCAAGAGTGACCTGAATTTGTAACCACAGCCCACTTGGGCTGGTTCTTCCTTCTTGAAAACAGGCTACTATAGTTATACATTTAACTATTTTTAAATCACTTTACACTTTTTTCTTGAGTCAGAATTCATTCTTTGAAAATATATTTCACTTTCAGTGTTTGTGCTGTATAAAACAACCATGACACACAGTCATTAATTTTTTTTTGTTGTGGAATCATTGCTTAGTGTTGCTTAGCAACAAAATCATCTTCCAGCCTGGCTGATAAAGTGTAAGAGGTTTTGGTTGTTTCTTTTAGTGTTCAAGAATGGATCTGGAATATTGGTCTTGAAATCTTACTACAGTTAATTTTCTACAGTGTATTTTCTCTGTTGTAAGTGTTGTAAATCAGTTATTAAGAAACCACTGTAACAGGCAGTGTATTGAAATAAAGTAAGACTGATAAAAAACCCCTGGATCTGTCCCTAAAGGAAACATACCAGTCTGGGTGTCATCTGGGACCCAAGCTAGTAACAAAGGTGAGAAGGTGATACAGCACTAGGAAGGCAGCAATCTGCCAGCTGTTAAGAAAAAGACAAGTGGCACCTGCTCCAGCTGGACAAAGTGCCTTCAACAACCTCTCTCCCAGGAACGGTGTTGCCTGTGAACAACTTGACAGGTGGCTCCACTTTCCTCTACCTGCTTGTGCAGAAGAGTAGAAAATCCTGGGCCAGTCTGCCACAGATGGGCAATTTCTGCTGGCTTTACCTTGCTGCCTGACACCTTTGACAGCCCTCGATAAAAGGCAGAAAAGCTGAAATAGGGGCTTACCACTTACTGGCTCAGTACTGGGTAATTTATACCTGAAGCTAGGTTTTAAAGATAAGTTTCTTGCAAAACTGCAGCATCTCCCTGCAACAGTGCCTGAGTAAATGGTAACTTTGTGTGGAACGTGAAATAGAACTGACATAATAGACTTGATTCCTGCTCACAAGTGAAGCATCAGGCTCATGTGGCAAGAACATATGGACACAATAGTAACCAGTCCTGGGACTCTTTGGAACAAAATTCTCTGAAATGTGGTTATGCCCTGCTCCACTTGGCAAGTTTAGCAAAGGCTGTTTGATTTATTCTGGGTGGTGCGTGGGACAAACAGCAAAATTCTCAGGAGGTTAATAACAAACTTTTTCTTGCAAACTTTAGAATATTAAGGTAGAATAAGGTACTTAGAAAATTTTAAAATGTAGCCATTTTGGTTGGAAATGTAAGAGCATAAAAAAAATTTAAGAAAATGTATAAGGGAAAAGAAAGAAAAAGAAAGGGTAAGAGTAGAAAGCTATATAGACACCACCCATGGGTACAGTGATGAGACTTGATGGTTGGATTTGACTGGTCATGAAGTCCAGTGGGTTAATATTACACCCAAGCTCAGTGGGAAAGCCCAGATACCTCCCCAGATAACTCCCTGGGGCAGGGAGTTTTACACTGGATGATGTAATACTGTGGATCGTGGGACAGGACACTTTAGGAGTCTTTGATGATCCATGACACCTTCTAAGATGTTACAGCTTCCTCTTACATCAGCATAGTTGAGTCAGTTATGGCCTATTGGACAGGATGAATACCTTCAGGCTTATGGGAAAATGCCCCCGTAGTTCCCTGGAAGCAAGTTTTCACAGCTGAGCCACTTGTTTGGGGACACTGGCATTATGAAAAGCTCAACTAGAGCTTCTCTGATGACAGTTGATGTTTTGAAGTTGTGTCTTCAGCATTTTACCCACGGTTACATCTAATTGGTGAAGGTTTTGAGGGGCAAGTAAGCAAATACCTCTCCTTTGTAGCTTTGAGTATTCTAGCAGGGCAGCTGAAGTTCTCAGTTAATAATAACTTTTTCTTTCACAGAATTCACCTAAACTCTTCTGCCCAAAGGACAGAGTCCTGGATATTGAAGCTATATACAGTGTTATCGATGATGCCAAGCAGTTTGTATACATAGCTGTCATGGACTACTTGCCAATCGTCATTGACACTAATGCTAAACGGTGAGTGTCCATGTCCAGGACCAGCTGGTTATCATGATGCCAATAAGGTCTGCTGGAGAAAATGAACCCACGGGAGATTAGTTCCTACTGTGGACCAAATTTCTTGGGGCCCAATTCTGCTCTTATTGAAATCAGTGAGAGTTCTGCCATTGACTTAAATGGGAGCAGAATGGGGACCTAAGAAGACAGTTCCAGTTCTGGGTCCTGAGCTTTGGATCTGCCTGTTGAAGGAGATCAGAAATTGTGTAGTCTGACCACCTGGACTGGGACCCAGGAATACAACAATCTGTTTATACATGAATCCTATTTCTTACACTGTTACACTTCCTGTCTTGAGACCACAGCTACTGGCATTTTATGAGTATCATAGATATTCAACATGAGAGATTGTGTGTGTGTGTGTGTGTGTGTGTGTTAAGAGAGAAATAATGTATTCTGAGTTCTTGTATTCAGTGTGGGAGATGTCATTATTTAATTGATATACACACAAAAGTGAAAATTCCAAATTCCCAGTACAGAGAAGGGGAACAAAAGGCGGCACTCAGGAAGAGATCCGGTGATCCAGTTCCCTTGCACAACCCTCAGAAAATCCCTCTGTCCCCGTGTCTGGACTGGTCAGCAGCGCCCTCTGGTTGTGGCTCCTTGTGCTGCTGCTCCAGCCGCGGGCAGGGAGGGACACGGGAGCAACTCTCCCAAATAGCGGTGGACAAGGCACCTGTATTTTATGAAAGTGTCTTGGCACGTACACAGGTGGAAGGTGTACTCATCCATCCACCATCTCGCTGTCCCCACTGTGACGGTAACAGTTTTGGTACAGGGCTGAATGACAGAAAAAGGGGATGCTGGCAGATCTGTTTAGTGAGAATCCCTTTAAATAAGAACAGGGTTCCTTCAGTGGACAGAAAATGAAATTTACATGTAGATTTGTTTTCTCTATAATGTCTAGACTTAGCTGCATAAAAATCCAATTTTTAAAAAATTTCTCTGAATATATTGTATTCTTTCTCCACAGATACTGGCCATATTTAGATGGGAAGATAAGAGAAGCGTTAGTATTACGAAGTATTAAAGTACGACTTCTCATAAGTTTCTCAAGAGACACAGACCCCCTTACTTTTAACTTTGTTTCATCTCTGAAAGCTATTTGCACTGAAGTTCCAAGCTGTAGTTTGAAAGTTGTAAGTATAATCCATATTGCTTTGAAATATAAGATATTCCCCCTCCCCAAAAAAAAAGGAATCAAGAAAACTTAATAACTGAGAAGCCTTTTCTGTTAGTATCAAAGTCTTTGAGTTTAATTAAATAATATAGGAGATGTAATATAATGAACTCAATTTAATTTACCCCTAGTAGTAACAGAAATAGAAATTAAGATAGAAAAATAGATTGATGTCAAAAGGTAGTCTGTGTAATGGTTGTACTGTCAGATTTACTCTTATCAGACAGTATAAACATGACCTATGACTGTGGCTCACTCTGTTAGCTTTGCTGTGAAAGACCAGATGTAGTGTTTTACATGGGCTGTCCACCACACAGACAACCATTATGTGGCCACATTAGACATGCAGTACAGGAAAGTGAGAAATACCATACCTATTACATTTGTATTAGAGAGCAGAATATATGGTAAGCACTACTTTCAGTTTGCTACAGTTCATTTTTATGAAATTAGGGCACACTGGAAATCCACCATCTTGGATCAACTTCTTTTTTGGTTAATTTTTTTGTGTGTGGTTTTTTTTGGGGTTTTGGTGTTTTTTTCAGGTAACTCTCTCAAATAGTCTGAATTATTTGGATTTCTTAAACTGGTAATCCATTTAATCATTCTGGCTTTTCGCAATCAACAACTGTAAAAAACAAGTAATATATGTTATACACACTGTGGCATTTATGCATATCTAGAATTTTTCTTATAATGGATGTTGTTATTACAAATTTCCTAAGTAAACAAGCAGCATAAAATGTGATTTAAAGTCAAAAAACTCCTTACATGGCTGACATTGCCTAAGATACTTCAATTTTGAATTACTTCTAGCTTGTTTCATATTTATCACCAAAATTCTACTTATGGATTCAAAATCATTTTTTATTTAAGTGGTACCTAATGCTCAACATACTTATATCCATTTCCATCTATTTTCAGCAGATAAAATCTTTTGTACGGAATTTATCTTGTCAAGAACTACATGCTAAAAGGAAAAAAAAAATTACTTCTAGACATGTACTCTGGGTAGATAGTCTAGCTAGATTATCTGCAGTTAGAAAATACAAATAAAACTTCCAGTAAAAAAAATAAGACCACCCCAGGTATAGGTAGTTGTAAAGGTACAACACACTTCAGTTACCTCTGCTGGACGTCACATGTTCCCCACTCTGGCTAAGTCACTGCCTTAAATAAACCTTTGTAGGAGTAATAGGCCAAGGCTCTGAGTTTGCTGGTATCTATTTGATCTTGGCTGAAAACTGTGCCATAGGCTCCATCTCAATATTCTTTTAATTCAAAAAAACATGTCAGATGAGCAATGGTTTTTTTTAAAGCTGTGTTTCTTTCACCTTCATCTGTTATAGCCAGGATAAAAGGGAAACAAAACTTTGTGTGTGTATGGAGGATGAGGATTAGGCTAACGAAGCTAAACTTAAATCTTTTGAATTACTGGAAAATTCTGCTTTTCCCTTTTGGTTCTGCCTTGGCTGTGAGAAAACATAAAGTCAAACTAAACTCTGTACAGAAAATACTGTCATTCAGGCATGCAATGTATGTGTTTATATACAAGATCACTGAAATTTTAAGATAAACTTGTTACAAATTCTGATTGAAATTATGATTGAAATTATAATTGAAATTGCTAAGCTGCCCCAATACCTCTGTAGTGTTCTGACCAAAATGTGACACACACATGCACCACATGACCTCCTATCCCTCCCCCCAAAAGAACTGTACTATTCTTTTGGGAATAATATATCCAAGTCCTACAAAGCATAATCAGTAACTTCTTCATTTAGCTTTTGATGCCTGTGATATGCCTTGTTGTGACTGTTTTGTTTTTTTTTTTTTTTGATCTCTGTGGAACAACCAGTTTGGTTTTAAAGTTTCCTGTGAGTGCCAATGACTGGCTGCAGCTACAGGGTACACTGGTTTGCCAATGGCAGCAGGCTGAGGTACACGGTCATCTTAGAGAAGGCGATGCAGATTTAATTTCTGTTAGATGGGAATCTTTTCCTAATTTCCCCTGGTGTCTGACCAGGCCAGTGGAAGTTTTGGCATGGCCTAACTGCAAGTATGTAATTAGAAACAGGGCACTGCAACCCTATTACACTTAGCAGTGTCCTGATCAAAGCCAGCCACCATCCACTGTATGAATTTTCCAGTCTGCCATGGAGGTCAGGGATGACAGGGACTTCAAGGCATGGTTTCCTGGTTGTGAACACTGAGTTGTAACAATGTGCTCTATCTAGAAGCAGGGATATTTTTTTTTCTTTTCTTTTTGCCACAACACTTTGATAATACTGGACAACAATGTCAATGCAGTTAGAAAATGCTTAGTCCCTCATGCATTTCTCAGCATCTCAGAGTCCAATTCACATAAGCATTAATAGCTATGTTTGAGAACTAAATAAACACTATAAGCACACAAAAAGCCAAATGGCAAGGAATAAACTGCTCATCAAACTGCTGCTCAGTCAGGGAGCTCTGTCCTATGGACTGAACCAATGTGGTCATGAAATTAAAGCTTGAATCATAAAGGGTAAGCTCAAGGTGAAGAGCTCACCGTTGTACTTCTTGGGACCTTAATTCCTGTACTCCTTAAGTTTTGTGCACTTGACCCCATAAATGCATCTACTGTGCACAAATGCCTAGTCCAGCTCTCAAAGGAGCCGTAGAAAGGGGCCAGCTCTGTTGGATGCAATGCTGAACAGAGTGTGTTTTTGAAAGAGCTACAAAAAGCAGGACCTAGAACAAAATGTCTTTAGACAACTGGAAACCACAATGGAGTGGCATGGAACAGATGTGTATGTACAGCACAAGTTATCCTTGAGCCTCCACATGAATCTATTTTTGAGTTGTGCTGTGTATTCCTGCTCAGGTAAGAGGAAGGTAAAACTGAACCTTCCGCTAGTTTTCAGAATGACAGAAATGCTCTATGAGTAAACAGAGTGTTATGAATTAACTATGAAACCTTTGCTCCTTAGCGCTGATTTAATTTTAAAGCTCAGAACTCCTAAAATAAGAATGGGAAGATTAATGAAATGTTAGGAGTAGGTAGTGTATTATTAACACAGTACTTTTGCTGAAGGCATGTCAGAGAACATTACACTGTGCTGCTTAATGCCAGTGCTGGTTCACTTGCTCATCTAAGTGACATTTGTGTTTTCTGTTTGTGAGGGCAGATGAGTTTCCCTAATGGTGTCCATATTCCCAAGGAGTCAATGCCTTCTCTGCTATTGCTGGAGAACAAATTACATTTCCAAACCTTCTATCCTTTCCTGCCTGAAATCTTCTCTCTTACAAAGTTATTACACAAACAGCACACTAATGTACAAAATCTCAACTCAACCCATCAGCTCAATCTATCTCAATTTGACACCTCTAAGCTTATGTTATTATTTTTACATCAAGGAATGTAACTTTTTGCTAAGTCTCCTAATACTAGTGAGAAGACAGCTTGTTATGTTTTGTTTCCTAGCACTGAATACTTTGCCCTTTTGCCTGTTTTAGACTATTCCCTTTGATGTTAGGATTGGTCACACCATATCATCCACATCCCTGTGAAGAGGTGCTGCAAGTACCCTGATGGATACCCTTATGGCTGCTGGCTGTTTCCATTCCAATTCTGTTGTGCTGGAAAAAACATGACCATTTTCTTCTGGCTTTATCCAAAAATTTAAGACCCTTTCAGAAAGATTCAGACCCATTTCTGGCTTGCCAAATACATGCCTTCAGTGTGGGTGCATGTTTGTAGAGCGGTTACTCAGGCACACAGTTGCAGTCTGGACGTTGTCTAAGAATATAATATCTAGCAAACTCTCCTTTATGACTGCTAAGGTGGTTTGTTCTAATCTTTTAAGTGTGATGCTGTAACTATTATTGATTATTAAAATCTGTAATTAAAGGTATGATTTCTCCAGGCAGCTGAGTTAGCTGTGAATGTACAATATAAATCTAATTTAAAGAAAATATAATAGACTTTTACATAGAATATTCTTTTTTTTTAATGCCCTTTATAAAGCAATCACTCAAGTAATTTGCATTGCTGTGCTTGTTTTTGAATTCAAAACACTATCTTTGCAATTTTGCTAGCATTTGAACTCATTACAAAAATTAAGTGTGGAACATAACAATGCCATATACAGGTAAGTAAGCATGGAGTAGCATACAGATTTCAGAAACTTTAAGGTAACAACTTTGTGACAGCTATCAGTCACAAAACTGCATCCCATTGCTATCCAGTATTTCTGCACTGAAAAAATACTGAATTTATTTCTCATGCACTAAAAACATGCTTCAGTACTGTTAAACAAATTTCTTTGCTCTAGGTTTCCCTCAGCAAAGTCTCACACAACATCTGATTCCAGGAAAAAATAATTTGATAAATGAGTGGTACAGCAGTAGGAACACTTCAAGCTGGGTGCCTCCAGAGAGGGACCCAAACCAAGGGAATCCCTGGGCTTTGATATCCTTACAGTCTAATGCACCTGTTCACAGTCCTGGCACACACCTCTTGGCCCAATGGTGATTTTTGGTCTGGGGTCTTCCAATGCCTTATTGGATTCTTTCTCTGTGCCGAAGCAAGCAGGCTGTTAACTCTTCTTATCTTGTGGAACTGCAGCTTCTGCTGATGACTGCAGCCTCCTTATCTTCTAGTTTATACTTCTTGTGCACTAGCTTAGTTGGCTGAGCACAGGAAACTGAAAAGTCCTTGATTTAGAGTAGGCTCTGCTTAGCAATAGCTAAAACATCCATATTATCAGCATTATTCTCCTGCTAAATTCAAAACACAGCACTGTACCAGCTACTAGGAAAATTACTAAGAAAATCAACTCTATTCCAGCCAAAAGCATGTATCTAGGTGAAAGTTCAAAGCTTGTGAACCAAGGTTTCAGCAGATCTTAGCTAAGCTACTCATGCTAAACAAGTAAAGCTAAGCAAACAGCATACTGAATCAAACAATATTATAACTCTGACTTAGTTAAAACTTACTTATTAAGTGAAAAAACTAATATTTCTCAACAAGCCCTAATAAACTTCCATCATGGCAGGTAGGGGGGATGTGTGTCAGCCCATGCACAGGGACTCTCCTTAGCCCTGAAATCAGCAGGAGCCTGGATTGGTCTTGGTATTTTAGACAGAGTCCTTCTAAGCACTTTTGGTACAACCTCTGACAACATAAAATTTACCCCAATATATTTTCCAATGGGAAGGGAGATATTCTGATGGTGTCCACAGCACGACGTTAGATAAACAGCAGCCTCTGGGCTACTCTACCTTTTGTCTGCAATTAAATAATTTTGATTAGCTTTGGTAGTAATAATTGCAGATAAGTCTGGTCAGAACTTAAAACAGAATTCTCCAAGGAAAACCAAACTGTAATGACCTTGACTCATGATGAAATGTATTTTCTGAATGAGTATTTGTATGCAGTTCTGAAGCAACCAGTTGTATAAAACCTAAACCTGGTGTTGCTGTTAATTGGTAACAACACATTTTGCAATAGTCAAGCAGTTTACTGCAAACAAGCTTGAAACCCACCTACATTATCAGCCAGGTAAAGAATGCTTTCTAAAAATGAGCACCCGTGTGCTGTGCATACAGCCATACTTGGATTCATCGAACTGATGATGTTGTGTACCGCAGAGACCGCCACATGGCAATAGTGAGTTTGGCGTTGGACACTTGAGTTATCCAAATTAGTAGGACTATTCTGAAAGACATCTCCGTAACCTAAAAGGATTTGTTCAAGGTTTATATCAAACCCAGCACTGGTTTAAGAGATGAATTGTGGAAAATAGACCCCTAAGAACGATTAAGGAGTTCTGGGATGGATTCTTTTCTACCCCAAAGTGTGTGCACTGTATAGCCAGTACTTTTGCCAGTCATCTATTGTGAATTAGGTTTGTTTTAAGGATCTCACCATCACTTCAAAGTTTTCCAGTCAGGCAGTAAATATTTACCTTCATCATGTTGTTCTCTACTTCGGGTTTTAGAATCTATGTTTAGCTATTAGTTTTCTTGCTGAAATAAACATTACTTATATTAGTACTGATCAGAAGAGGAGTGCATATAGCTCCAAAATGAAAAATAAATAAACAAACAAACAAATAAATAAATAAATCTTGCTCAGACTTCACCCTCCAGGGTAAAACAAATGTATTTTCCTCTTGTGGCTGCTACATTTGATCTCTTCATGTCAAATTTAATCCTGAGAAGATTCTAAGTTTCTGAACAGTTTCCTGTTGGAAACTATGCAATGTGTGATGTAGAGGTATTAGCTGTTGCTGTACCTACCAATCCAGATCCTGAAGCAGACTTCAAACTTCAATGTCCTTTGACAAATGAGGAAGCAAGCTAAAGAAAAGTTCCTGGCTCCATGCAGAACACAAAGATGGGTGTTTTTTGTTCATTTCACAGCCTTTACTACCTGGCACTGTATTTCTTTTGGCATGCAGTAGCCACATACTTTGTATAGTTCAGAATGCCAAGGCAAGAGTATCATAACCTGTGAGAATTTACTAAGAAATACAGTGTGCAGCACTTGGCTAGAAAAACTCAAGCTGTTCTGTTGCACTAACTTATTTTCAATAAAGATTAGAGAACAAGCCATATTTTTTCTGTCTCTTATAGAGCAATGCTCATTAACCTGTGCTCCATTCTATTTTATGGCAGAAATTCTTTGACCTTGAGGAAGAGAGTGCATGCTTTCTTAAAGAACAGAAGAACACTTCCCTTCCCAAATTAAATCGAAACAAATATATGGTGACCGATGGAGCTGCATATATTGGTACGTAACCACAACTCAAGAAATTCTAGTTAGTATCCAAAAGCCTGAAAAAACACCCCTTTGTAGATGAGCAATCCACAGATGAATGTTTGTTAATAGTTCTTTTCTTTGGGAACCTGGATGAAGACTGAGCTTTGGGCCTCTTCCCATTTAAAAACTTTTCTTCCCCTATGAATCAGTTTCTCAAAACACACATTCTGCTTTCAAGATTTTAAAACACACCAAAAACACAAATATAGCACCATTTATGACGCAGAAACAACTTGGATTATTAGCATATTCTCTTGTTTCTGCAATCCAGTGAAGATGGACTGTTCTCCAATTCCCATGTTTTGGGATATGGTCAGTCCAAATATTGTACAGATACCTTTCATCCTCATCTTCTGAAGTCTAACATTAGGTACACGTGTAACTGGTATTTTGGGTTAAAGGTGTATTTAAGTACAGTTGCTGTATGGCAACTAGCAAATGTTCGTTACCAGTCAAATGCTCACTAAAAGCAGGTTGAAAACTACCCTTTAAAAAATCTGAGTTGTACATAAGCTTACAGTATCAGAAAGCCATTACTGAATTAAAAAGCAACTCATAACATTTTAAAAAGCCAGGAGAGAAAACATGCATTCTGATATGCTGCAGCTTGATGCTTTAGGGATCAATCTTACTGACTTACTGCAAAGCGCTCACAGCCCATGATGGCAGAGGCAGTGGGGAAGGGCAAAGGCTGCAACTCGGAAGCACGGCCCATGCCCACACCAACAAGTTGTGTAGAGATACAACTAAAATCTACTCTGAAAAGCCCACCTTGAAAGCTCTAAACACACACACCTACCTTAACCTATCCAAATCTTAATTTTGACTGCAAATACTGAAGCACATTCCTCTCATCTCCCAAAGGTTTTATGAGCCCCCCCCCAAACATTATTTTTCCACTCCATTTTAAATCCCTTCAGACAGACAGATCAAATCGCAGAACCTTGGAACTCGTCTACACAGCATGGATTCTTAGCCAAGTTAGGTTTTTTTTCTTTCCCGTTGTCCTTGCATTCTTAGCTGCAGATAAATAAATAAAAAAAAAGGAATTATCAAAGATTTGTGAAAGTAGTACAAATACATACTAAGGACTTGATATATCTTTTACTTGAAATCACAGGAAAAAACGTCCCTTAGGATGAGGCTTCAATTTACCATCCTTGACAACTTTATAATTCTTAGCATTTTCTGCTGAAGTAGCTGAAATGATGCTCAAGGGTATAAATTTCTCAGATAGCTTCATGTTTTAGGTACTGTTTTAAAATATGATCTCTAGTTAACAGCATTGTTTCTCCAAAATACTGCATGTGTTTTGCATATATAATTTAAAATACTTACAGTTCTAGTGAGATGAAAAGAAGTAATCGCAACAGTTAGTTTTCCATTAGTCCAGTTATGCTCTTTGCCTTGCTATCACCAGGATTTGAAGTACTCATTTGTTGCCTTAGATTTCAACACACATGGTAATAACTGGCATAAAAAAATAACACCTATTTTTCTTTCTTGAAATAGTATCTATCAGTGGGTAACCTGTAAAAGATCTATTGGTTTGGAACTTTAAATTGCTTATACAGCAAAAAAAATTTCATTCTTGGCACTGAAAAGGCCAATGAGGAAAGTAAATGGAGTAATAATACAATATATGCAAAAAGAAGATCAAAATAGTTTTGAATAAATAGAAGAACCTGTTTTCACTTATGAAGGCTTAGAGCTGTTAAACTTCCAGAAACGACCTTCACTAAACAAGGTATTGTAACGGAGTTTTTCTTTGGTGTTAATATAAAAAGCTCATTTCTGTCTCTGTACTGGGGGAACTGATAGTGTTTCATGCTGGATTGCCTTTAGGGAGATTGGGGTTTTTTTGTTTAGTTCTTTGCTTTTAATGTTAGAAACTCATTGTATATTCCTGCCTTTACTTATAGGTAATTTTGATTGGGTAGGAAATGCTTTTACGCAGAATGCTGGAGCTGGCCTTGTTATCAACCAAGCAGACACGGGGAACAGCACAAGCATCATTAAGCAACTCAAGGCTGTTTTTGAAAGGGACTGGTATTCACATTATGCCAAAAGTTTACAACCAACAAAAATCCCAAACTGCTTTAATCACAAACTTAATAAAGGAACTTCAAACAAGACTGCCATGAGCAATGCGAATTAGAAAGACTATTTTACTGTTTAGTATGGCAATGAAGAATTACATTGGGGTGTAGCCTTCTTTCATATTTACAGACAAAAGACTTAAAAAGCAAAAAAAAAGTTTGGTTGGGGGGGTGTTTTTAGGAAAAAGCACACTTATATTAAAACTGTCTAAACTATATTCTCTATATTGAATTATTTAAGATGTTCAAATTTGTTACTTCTGACACTGAATGTCATTTCCACTTCCGTGTTAATTTTAATGTTCTGCATTTGAATTTAAGAGCATGTATCAATGATTCTGTTTAAGGACTTTCCCTAGTTGCCAGATGAGGCTAGAACAAACCTGGAGGCAAAATGAAGATTCAAGATATGAAATGGCATTCTAAGATCAGTTATTATTGACATACAAATAGATGGTAGGTTTACTGTATTAGAAAATATAAAGGAATAAGCAAATTTTCACCCATATAAATCATTCCCTTTAAATAACTACCTAGTCATACAAATACTTCCTAGTTTCAAGCATTTAGTTTGAGTATCACTACTCCATGTCTTCTAACTAGCCTTAAAATACATTAGAGTTAGGACTGGTAATTCATTCATCTCCTAACAGAATGAGAAGGTTTTGAGGGATTGGGGTTGGCCTCATTGAATTTGTTATATTCCCTAAAGCCTCTCAGATAAATGGATTTTTTATTAAAATAATGTGGATTCCTTTCAGCATAATAGTTATTTCCAATTACATGCATTTCATCTAACAATGAAAATCTCTGGATTAATAGCAAAGACCTAGGATTGTTTTTCTTTTATTTTTTTTTTGTAATCTCAAGAAAATTTCTTCCCTAAATTAAATATTTATCAAATGTGAGTCAGCAGTTGCATGATGACTCATTATCAAACCAATGCACATCTAAAAATCAAATACTGCTTTTTTTAGAAAGGTCAAGGCTTATGCAAAATCATGCAATAATTGTTGTTAAATGATCATATAGAAAATTTTTTTGATTTTTACACCTGGAAGTGTTTTGTTTTCTAACTTTTAAAAAAATAAAACTTGTGAAATGGCTTTTTTTGTTAAAATATCATCCATATAGGTAAATACATCTTTATGGACAGAAAAGTGATGCCTTCATTTGGGCCACAGTTTCAATTGATGTCAATAGTGTGCCTCTACAATCACAACTCACTTGCACCAAGAAGTAACTGAGAAGTTCTGTAAAAGTGTGACTTTGCTCTTTAAAGAAATATACATAAATGCTTGACAACAGATTCTTCTCCACTTCATCACAGTTTCAGCATAAAAATGTTTCATTACTATCCCTCTGCTTCCAATGAAAAAATACAGCTATGAAAGAAAAACTGCATTCTGCATTTTGTTAAATATTCACAGAACCTTTTCCAAAATGGCAACTTCTCTGTCTCACCTACTGAAAGCACACTTTGAAAGCAGTGGGCAAAAAAAAGAGAAGGAAAACCAATCATGTTCCAATGTATTATTTTAATCTTAAGAAGACATCAAAAATCTACCTTGATTTTTAAAATATAGGTGTTACTTACAAGGTAATAAATTCAAATTTATTTTATAGTGAGCACAGCTTAGGAAATTCTAATCAGGCAACATAAGCAAATTCAAGTTGTCAGCTGGAGACACCCCACAAAACTAATTATGACCTCAAAAGGCACACTTTTGACAAAGAATGTTTGTTTCTTTTGCAATCGCAAAGATTTACATCATCTTACTGAAAATAATGGTAAAAGAAAAAATTTTTAAAGTTGTCAACTTTTACAGAAAATATTTTGCACAGCTCTAATACACAATAACATTTTCTGGTATTCAGATAAACACGTGCCATGTGTTAGTCTCACACACCTAGAAAAGTGTACATTCTGGCATTCTTATAAGAAACAAATATTAAAAATGAAAAAGTTTTCCTGAGTTGCTATGAGGAAAGATCTTTGTTAAGAGAAATTTCTGAATTTTCTTCCTTCTGTATATAACTTAAGAGTATGCATAGCAAGTGTGGGAGAGAGATCCTCAGCACTTAACTTACTTGTTCTGGGGTTTTTTATTTGTTTAAGGAGTTAATATTAGTCCAGATTAATTTATGGTGAAAATTTCAGCCAAGTCATACCACCAATAAATTTAGTCTTATGAGTCAAAGATTAAAAAAAACTAACCAAAACAATTGAAAAGCCCAAAGCCCACCACATTTTTAAAATCCAGTTGAGATAGTTGTACAGTTTCTGAGATGCCCATGGATGGGTGATTTTAAAGCTTCAGATAAACTTCATAAACCATTCTTTCATAAAACAGAAAATAATGCCAGCAAACAAAAAACCCCACTGTCTGGATTTGTTAATTGTAGCACTTAATGGCAATAATATACAGGAATGAATCAATGTTGGCTTTTTTCCCTATTGCATTATGAATACTGGAAATGTGTTAAGTTTTTAAAATGACATCTTGTATAAATAATGGAGGATCTTGGTGGAACAGAAATTTGTCAGGTGATACAGCTAAGCTATATGTTTACAAAGCAGGATTTAGTAATGAAATCAGACTGTGGAGTTACCCCTGATTGATTTAGTATACCAAATGAATGGTTCAGATACAGTAGTTTTACTGCTTCGGTCCTAGGGAAATACAATCATGAATACTAACAAGATCCATTAATTTATAAATGCGTTCTTATTGGCTTGATAAACAAATTATTGGTGCTTCAATGATCCCCCTGAAAGAGATGATACATAAACGTGGTAGTATGTTTTGGTTTTAGTAATGGAAAAGTTTGGGTGGTTTTGAACAACTTTTAATGTGAAATACCCATTAGCCATTCTACAAACAGACTGTCAGACTCAAATTTCATTTGGTATAAAATATGGATTAATACTTTAGTAACTGTTTAGAATGGCATCAGCTCTAAAGCTGTACAGAAAGTTCTGTTCTATTACATTAGCCAAAAGACAAAGTGCATCCTTGGACTTCAGCAAATATGAAATTTAAAATATCAGATTCTTTTTTGAAACTGTTTAAGGGGATTATAGCCAATTATTTGGTTTGTGTCAGTGCTGTTACTGCTTAACTAGATTTGCCACAACAGCCTCGATTCTGGCTTTAGATCCTTCTACCACTGTAATAAATCTGGAGCAAATCCATTACAGTGATTTCACACTAGTTTAGCAGGGATCAGAATCTAAACTAGTTTCCTCTTGCTTCAGCTCTCCTGAGTATCACCATTGCACAGGCTATTTCCAAACGTGATGGAGATTTGCATTCAGTGGTTTCTCACAGATCTCACAGGCATAATCCAAAAGATGCACTTTCTCTAGTCCCCTTCTAACTGGCATTGGTAACTCTGTCGTATTAAAGGCATTTCCTAAACAGAACGGTTTTATTCTTAAAGAATATAGACTGTAATTGTTGTTTGCTGCAAACATTTACTAGTGCCTTATTCATACAAGCTTTTGTTTAACTGTTCCTCACATGAAGTCCTGCTAAAGATCTTGTGTCCAGTACTGAGGCATACAGCGAACTTCTAAAATAAGAAGACTACATATTGTGATGTTTACAGTTTAATACCTAAAACTAGTCACAAAAACACAAAAACTGACTGCGAGATGTTCCTCCAAACCACAAGCACATCTAAACCAGAGCATTTTTATGCAATCCCAGTTCTAGAACTGAATTTCACAAATTACTCCTGGCTTCATTATCAACTAATCTAAAACACAATTGAATTATTCTGCCCTGATAAGGTATAAAACTAAAATCTGAATTCCCCCAACATCTGGCTGGTACTAAAACCATAACCACAGAAATTCCTGTAAGCGCAGGTTGAAGTACAAATACCACATAGTGGCTACTTTACAGATCTTACATGTTAAGTCTTAAGTTGCTTTGCACCAGCCACCACGTTTTTCTGCCTGAAGCATGAATTAGTACCCACAACTACTCTCACCTTCTCTTCAAAGACCAGAAGGGCATAGATTATGTGCTACAACATAATGGCTGTAACTATGCCCTAACAGGAAAAGATTTAAGTTTTACACCATGAAGGGCCAGGTGTTCCTCCCAGCAAATTCAAGCTCTGCTTGTAGTTCAGGAGAGAACATGAGAAACAAGTAGCCTCAGAATACTACTTTTAAGACCTATTCGCTATAATACAAGATACCTAAATTCTACTACTTTGTTGAGATTTGCATACATAAAAATTGAACAACTAAGCTCTGTGTTACATGCCATTTAACCCATTCTCCATCTATGGAGAAATCCAGACAAAGAAATTATAGGGTTCTTTTTGTAACTTTGGTGTGTACTTAGTGAAAATAGCATAGGCTTTCTTATCAAGATGGTAAAGACATCAGCTGGCTATTCCAGTTCTTCAAACTGAAGTCCTAAATATCCCTATCTTGCATTATCGTTATTCCAATGCAATCTATGTAAAAAAACTCAAAATGAATCCTTAGTATGTTTAAAATTCACGATAATTCCTGAGTTCAAGGCACCAGTAAACATACTCCACTTTTAACACTGCAGGGTATAGTAGCTCAACTGATTCTGTAGGATGATTGCTTTTCTTAGCCGTAGTTTTTCACTTTAATTACTGCTGGATATTATTTATGAATTTCTCAGTATTGAATCAGGTTGCTCTTGCATCATCACTTTGCACAAATGCCTTAGAAGCTTGCCAAACTAGCATGTAAAAGAGACCTCGTTCAAAATAGTTTAGACAAGAAAAAAAGAACTCATGTGCTTTACGCTCTGTGGATGCTGAAGTCAATAGATAAACTCCTGTCTTATAATAAAGTGGAGTTTTCTATTGCACCTCCTGTTTAGATTAGTCCTGCAAGGGCTTCAAAGAAAAAGTGTGTGAGAATTGTGTGTTTATGTTGTGATCACGAATTTACAGAGATATGAATGAAGAATCCAACTGTACTGAATGGTTCAACACAGTAACTTAAATTGGGCTTTCATGAAAACACATTTATATTCCATGTCCATATGATACAACTGCATTAATATATTAAAGTTAGGTTATTCCTAAAATTCAAAAAACATGTAGGATAAAAATGAAGCTACTGCAGCCTATTTCTGAATTAAAATCAGATTTTAAGAGTGTAATTGAACTCTGACTGCAAATTATTCTGCTATTGTAATGGAGTCAGCTCTCTTATATTCACAACAAATTCTACACTGCAATTTTACAGGAAGACTCAATAATTCTTTTAAATCCTGTAAAATGAACACGATAATTTTCCCTTTAAGAACATAAAATATAATAAAATGGCTGACAACCGCAGCATTCCAGAGGATTATTTTGTGTTCTTTTATGTTGCATGGCCACAAATGTGAACAATACAAATTACATGTATTGCAACAATGTTGTGTGAACACATGGTGGACATTGCATCTCACACAGTGATATCCATCTCTCCTGCAGCAGCATAAAATGTAGTAAGGATAGAGAGGAAGGGGCAAAAAGAGCTAGAGGCAAACTAACTTGGATCAGCCTGAATTGATGGACTAAAAGCTCTGGGCTGCATTCTTATTTTGTTCTTTTCCCTGCAAAATCCTGTATTTCTTATGCATTCGCCTTGCTGGTCTTTATATGAATGAACTCCCATGATTGTTTTCAGACTGAGGAAAGAACCATGAATAAAAACCCATCAATTTCTATGTAGCAAGTACTAAGTACTAAAGCAGTATTTGAGATGGGGCTCTTCCTTGTGTATTACAAATTTCTAGTGTAACATAAGCAAGGATTTACAACACAGCACATGCCTGCAAATTGCACATCACATGCAGCCTTTGCATGTGTTCTCTCAATGTACAAATATAGTCGTCAGACAGACACCATTCTGAACTACTAATAAAACCGTGAAAACGAAGCACCAGTATCAGGCAATCAGACTTTACAAATTAATCACACTCAAACGAGGAAAGGAATTCCCCCCAGAAGTGATAATTATTTAACCTGGAATTATTTTCAAATGTAACTTTGAGGGACTTAATGGGGAATTTAATGTGGAAGGAATCCTTCTGTTAAAGATTAAAGGCATGCACCAATATACGTAGCGTTGTTTAAGCAAGACAGCATATAAAACATACAGTGAGAAGCTCTTCAAATGGAAGTGTGTGGACTAACATTTTATCAACTGACTTGTATTTGAAAACTATTGAAAACTATTGAAAACTAGTATTTTCAAGTGGATGTGCTCAATATTCAATTACTTCAAAACATTCTCTTAAATTACTACACAAGCATTCCTTATTTGTATTACCTCAAATGACAAATTCAGTATTCAGCGTTTTTCCTGAAACTTGACAGAAAAGCAGGATGCTTCTGGAAGTGACAGCTGTATCTTTCTAAAGATCAGAGGGCTGTTCTCCTCATCTAACTTGTCCTCTTACTGTCTCCTACTTCTTCAGCAACTCAGTCCTGGTTTATACTTGTCACTGCCTGAGGAACAAAGAAAATGAAATATTTTTAGCTACCTGCTGTTTCTGAAAACTGCTGGCTGCTCAACATGCTTTGCCCTATGAGACATCCCCCATCTAATGAGATAACGAAAAGTATAAATGGAGGTCAGACACATAGTTCCAGGTGCTTCACATAATTTTTTTACCTGGAAAGACACATATGCAAAGTCTGGGAGAAGAGATGGGGTGTGGGGAGAATGCTTGGCAATCTTTAAAAGAGGAAGAGGTTCTTCTGCTGATATAAATACCTCTTCTGGTCAACTCATTTTAGAGCAAACCATTCTTTACCACACAACCAGATTTGCAATGACTAAAATGTGTGGCTGACTTTAGCATGAAAAGGTAAGAGGTCAAAAGCCTCTTGTCTTTATGAATTGAACTGATGTCTTTAATATGTAAGAGAGGTGGAAGAAGCAGGTGAAAAAGGAAAATACATTGTCTCCTCTTTTGAAGGAATAGGCCAGGTTTCTACTAGAAATAGAGCTGATAAGGTTTCTTAAAAAAAAAAAAAAACACAAAGACCTTATGCATCCATATTCTAATAATTCTCACAAAATGGTGCATACCTGTGGGAACTTTTGACTCAGCTTAGTACCAACTTCTTTTGTGGCAAACTATCAGACTTCTCAGGAGAGCTCCTTTTCCTCCTTCTCACTATACTCAAGACAGCTGTGACATCTGCTTTTAACAATCTCCAGATTCTTCAAAGAAAATTTTAAAATAAAATATAAGAATCTTCCCTGTGGAAAGAAAAAATGAATAGCAGGTTCACTGAGGACCTTCTTCACCAAAGAACCTAGTACAAATATTAAATTACATAAGAAATCAGAATGAAAACCACAAGGCATTCTCATCTTTGTCAGCATTTAAAAAAAAATGAAAATTTGAAAAAGAATAAGAGGCTAATGCAGTACCTCAGATGAATAAAACTGAAATTTATAAACCAAAATACTGTTACTTTTGTGGACAGTCCCCACATTTAAACTGCAGCTCTCAATATGACAGAGATGCAGTGAAGAATCAGTGAACCACTAGCTTTGATATGCTGTAGCAAGGTTTCAGCATTCAAAGTCTTATGTCCATCTGTCTTTATACAGCTTAAAAGTTAGGCAAAAAAAAAAAAAAGGGGGGATTCTGTGTATATTTATGCAGCCCTTACTGCTAAATAATTATTAAAAAATAGACACTTCTCACCGCATTTGTGTCTTCAGGTGTCACCACAGAGATCTTAGTGAACAAGTCTGGAGAAAGGCAGAAAAGCAACATCTGTGGCGGCAAGTAAGCCAACTAAAATAAACTGTAAGCCTGTTTTTCAAGTGTTAGTTCATACAATAAAAGATGCCCCCATATCCAGCTCAGATTCCGAATGTCTTTGTATCAGATTCCAAATGTCCTTGTATCAGATTCCAAATGCAGAGTTGAGGCTCCTCACACACATTCATACAGACATATCCTCAAAGAGAAAATGAGTATCTATGCCAGGAGAGCCTGGAACATCTCTAGCACAATGACTTGTTCCACTACTGTCCTATTCTTAAGACTGACAGGAAATCGTACAGCTTTATGGAAAGGGCGACATACCCTTTACCAGAGAATAGGAATATTCACACACAATCACTCAGAATAACGAGTAACAAAAGTGAACTCCTGGCTGCAGCACAGAAATACATCAACATCACCATGCCTGATAGCACACACTTTTTCATTCTCACACTGCATGTGTGCCAAAGCTCACTTTTTTGAAAAACAAAGGGCAATGTTTCTCTCTGAATTAAACATTCCAGAGAGGATTATACCTTTCTTTAAAAAAAAAAAAAAAAAAGAGAGAACAGCAACCACTGCCCCACTTTGCTCTTCCTTTTCCATGCTCCACTTTTCCATTAACAAACAGATGTTTCTGCCATTTCTTCCTCATCTGTCTTTTTCCTTTTCAAGCTATTTCCTACATGCTGTTTCTGAATGCCTTGCTGCTCTGTACGCAGGGATAAATCCCTGCAACCTGGATTGTTGGTGCTGTAACATCCTACAAGGTTACTTCCACTAGCTTTACCTGAAGTGCTCAGAAGAAGGAAGTGCATGCACACAATGTTGAAAGACACACAGATTACCGTGTATGAAGACAAGGGAAGTCAGGGCAAAAGCAGAATGCAGGCACTACTGGAAAAACACCTGGATGGGGAAAGGGTTTGAAGTCATACTCATCAATCTGATTTCACCTTGGCACATCCAAAACCCGTATCAGGAGCTCAATTTTGCAAACCTTGCACAACTAACAGAAGCCTTGCCTCCAGGTATTTCGTTTGCTGTTGTCCTGGAGTCACATGCCAGGTTAACCTGCCAAGCTAGGCAATAACAAGCAGGTCAAAACCACAGACAACTTCAAGCCGCATAACCTCAACTTTATCCTCCAGGTGGCATTCGGCCACACAGGGGGTCTAATCTGGGTACTGTCATCTTGTGATTGTTAAAATGGTCCAAGCTCACCATTGTATATAACGCCACCACCTTCAAAAGAGCAAATGAAGAAAGAAGATCTCTCTGCAAACAAATTTTAAATCTCTGACTGTGACTTTGGCACTGCATTGTATTTCCCTACACAATCTAAAAGTAGCAGGAGTTCCTTGTAAAGTTTGCAGAGCAAAAAGGGTATGTACTATATAAGTTTACTACTATACCTCCTCTGATGGAATAAATATCAAATAGAAAAACATCTGTCTAAACTTATTTTGAAAACTGCATGGCCAGCTTATGCAGTAGCTAGATATGTGGCAAGGTTACAGTGTTACTCTCTAAGGAGAATACAATTAATATGCTTATATATTTGGTTCAATTCAAGCACTGTGTAGTCTCCAAGTTCTGCTATGAGAAGTATGGATAACTTCTCATTATCCTTCCTATTCCAAAACACAGTATTTATCACAGATATGTACAATACAGCAGCATAGCTTAGGCCTGTTATATAGGTCAGTATCTGCAATGCACACAAGAACATAGTTTGCCACTGCAAAGGAGAGTGGCTGCAAAATCTATTTTGGATAATCCAATTTATATTTGAGGAAATCAATGCGTGGTCATTTCTAGAACTGTGAATATAAGGCAATTGCTGCATGCTTGTATATTTGATAAGTTTTATTATACTATATCCTTATATGAATGCCTATGCAGTGTAAATGCTTTAATATAAGATACTGAATGGTTTTTTTACACATTATTTTCTAAACGTTGCTACTTTACTGCATGTTTATTCATTTTTTTGTGTTGGTACAAAGTGCAAGCAGGAAGACACATGATTTTAATAATTTATACAGCAGCTATTCAAATCCATTATAAAAACACGTTCTTATGTAAAGACTTTTAATTTGGCAAGAAATGCGCTTCCTTTAGACAATGGGCTTGGTTCACAGCAATACCTGTGTAATTAATGTTTATTTATTAAAAAAAAAAAAACCAACCAAAAAAATGAGTCTGTAAATGGGGCTATTGACCCTGCTGCAAACCACTATGTCAATATGTTTTGATACCTTTGAAAACATAAATCACCTACATTTACTAGGAAAACAGATGACCTGTCCTGATTCAAGCTGAAAAACAGTGCTGTAATTGAGAAGACCATTCTTGAAAAAGAATTGTGTTTGGTGCTGTAGGATGACAATGTAGCAACCCTTTTTTTATTTAAACAATACTTTCTCATGACCATAATACAAAGAGTTCATGTTACTTGACTGTGAACTGGGCCCACTATTTACAGTGTTATTATACATAACCAAAGTTCAGTGTAATTAAAAAAATTGATCGAATTCATTCTTTTGGAAGAAACAAAAAAGAGGCTGACTGATTTTGCTGGGGTTTTGGAGAGCTGGCTTGGTACAGAGCGTTGTTTCTGTACCAATGCATTTTAAATGTAAGGAAATCACTGGCTGAAAGACTGATGGCTAAGACAGAACTGTCAGTAGTAACATCTGATAATGCTGGAAACTAAGCTAGCAATGATACAACACTAAATCAAGGTAGTAATGCATTAGTTTAAAGCTATGTAAATATTTATTTTAATGCTGCAGCATCATAGCTGTCATTTTTCACTGCTTTGATATCCAAGGATTCTTAATACTACACAAATGTATTTTATCTGCTTAATTTTTTAGTTTCAGCACTTTCATTCAAAGCAAATAACTCCCATTTCTTTGTACTGCACTGAAATAAAGACTCTTGTTTCAGTACATAATGCTTTTCCTGTTCTGGTCTTTCTCTGTCAGCGTTTGTTTCTATGAGCACCGAATTAGATACCAGCCCCTAGTGTCTAGCTCCTGGTACTATGGTCACTATGACTTCTGCAATATGATCCTCTTTTCTAGTAGATTGATTCAAATCAAGATTCTAGGTGGAATCTGGGAAAGCAGGCACTACCCTGGATTTCTCATTTCTCAGGAGACCACCATGGCCATTGTGATTTTCTGCTGCAGGGACTGCTGTCACATTCTGTTCAGACTACAGGAGTCCTAAACAAATCCCCTCTGATTTCCATCTAAAAAGCTTCTAACCAGGTCTACTGCTAAGTAATTTTCTCTGTGAAGAGAGATTCATGTTCCCTGAGTTTGAAAATGAGAACACTCTGCAGCAGATAACATTTAAACAGAAAAAGTAAAGACTGGCAGGAGATGAGAGAAAGCTGAATCTCCTGAGATAAGCACTGGTCTTAGTAGCATGTGCTTTTCTAAGAGCTGTTTCATATGTTGTACCAGAAAGGTAGCTTTTGACTGCACAGGACACAACGAGGTAAACAATAGCTGCTGCACTTTGACCCACACTGTTTCACATACAACACCTGAACAGATTTCAGGTGCAACTGGAGTGATGAGTTCAGAACAAGGAGAAAGAATCAATTCCCATAAAGAGAAGATTTACCTTAATTCCAAAATGACTTATGTCCCCGTTTTATTCTAACAGTATCAGAGCACCTCACTTTCACATTTCTCATGCTTTTTGCAAGACAATTATTGTACCTATTACTTTAGTTCCCATTTTTGCAGAAAATTAAGTATACACTTCACAAAAATCTGCACCTAGGAACTCAATATTCTTTTCATATATGTGGCTTCATAACAATCACATGATCACATGAAGTAGGAAACAAAATCTTAATCCTGTTTACAGACAATGAGCAACTTTAATTGCTTACTGTGCACTGTATCACACAAGTTAGTTTGCAAAGCACACAAAATTTAAATTCAGCTGCTGACATCTATTTCCATATTAGATTTCCTTTCCATTATGCATTCTCTCTAGAGAGATATGCATGGAAATGTTTAGACGCGTTCCACGAGAAGACAAAAATATTTCAATCCCAGTAGCTGAAAAGAAACCAGCTGCAGTGTCACAGCTACAGTCCAGGCCACTGTCACTGGACTGATGCACTGAAAACGAGAGGATTTATCCTGTTTCTTGCCTTTGATTGAATCCAATGGGGTTTGTGCTCCATTGGAATGAGATGATGATGGTGACATAGATGAGTCCCCTCCATTCAGAATCATATGCACTAATATATAATGAACAACTGCTTTTTATTAGACTACCTACTCCTACACAGGCCACATTTCAAATAAAACATATGATACTTACTTACAAAACTATAATATTTTTTAATAGGATAGATGCATCCTTTTCAGAATTGATCCCACCTCTAAAGAAGCACTGATGCCAAAGATGTTGACATCTCCAACTCAGAGTTTTGCAGTTCCCTACAAAAAGAGAGCCTTTTCCTAATCTCTGATTTGTTTTTGAGTACCAATATTCATTTCTCACTGACTGCCACATGTATTCAAGCCATACACTGCATTGAAAGAACCCAGCAAGTGACAGCATATGTAACCTAGTAAGAGCAACAGCAAATCAGCTGTGGTATGCTCTTAGACTTTGCTTACATCTTTGGTGTTAAGTAATACAATTAAAAAAATAAAAAAGCCATTTAATTTCACACACTGGTTTCTTAACAATACTGTCATGGTTTAGCTCCAGCCAGCAACCAAGCCCCACACAGCTGCTCACTCACTCCCATACCAGCGCAATCAGGGAGAGAGAACTGGAAGGGTAAAAGCCAGAAAACTAGTGGGTTGAGATAAAGAGAGTTTAATAGGAAAAGCAAAAGCCATGCACACAAGCAGAGCAAAGCAAGGAATTAATTCACTGCTTCCCACGGGCAGGTAGGTGTTCAGCTATCTCCAGGAGAGCAGGGCCCCACCACATGTAACGCTTACTTGGGAAGACAAATGCCATCACTCCAAACACCCCCCCCCCTTCCTCCTTCTTCCCCCCACTTCATATACTGAACATGATGTCACATGGTATGGAATATCCCTTTGGCTAGTTTGGGACACCTGTCCTGGCTGTGTCCCCTCCCAGCTTCTCATGCACTCCCAACTTCCTTATCAGTGTGGCAGAATGAAAAGCAGAAAAGGCCTTGGCTCTGTGTAAGCCCTGCTCAGCTATGACAAAAACATCTTTACATTATCATCTCTGTGTTCAGCGCAAATCCAAAACACAGCCCCATTGTACCCACTGGGAAGAAAATTAACTCTATCCTGGCCAAAACCAGCACGAGTACACTCTTTAAAGCAGCTGAAGTGCATAGCATGCTAATAATGTGCTGAGACACACTGTCCCTGGTTAAATAACTCCTGAACAGCATATAGTTGTTGGCCCAACACAATATTCCAGTACACTTAGAGAATTCCGCTAAATGTAGCCCAGGTTTTGGAACTGTATTACAGACAGGAGAAGAATATTCAGAACAGGTGTTTGTCTCATTACAATAAATCTTCCAAATCACTTTATCCTTACTGTCTGACAACCAGTGGTGAAACAGTGCCCTCAGTATGATGCACAGGAAGTCTGAAAGAGTGCACCGGAGTCACTGAACAGCAATAACCCACTTCGCAGAGCTCCCGTGTCTCAACGTTCTCTTTTGAACAAACTACTATTTTGAGACAGAGAAAGGATGGCCTTCTTCAGCCCCTTCACAGTCTCCTTCAGCTACAGTTTAAAATTCAAGATGCATACACGAGATAATGCGAAGATGAAATGACAAATCTTGGTGCAGTAGCAAATAGTCATGTTCCAGTCCTTACCCTGTATCCTGTTTATGAATATAGCCAGTACTGAACCAGTATGGTAGTAAGTCCTTAGGCAGATTTTACTGCTGGTGTAATATAATACTCCCAAAGACTATGTTCAGCCTGCCAACAGCATGCTAGCACATCTCCAAGGGTTTTATGAGCTACCAGAAAGGTCATGTCTGCTGTGGCAGAACCAGCTTGGTAAGGTCATTTTAAAGTCTTATAAATGCTTAAAGCATCTCAGCTCATGTAGGACTATCATAACAGTAGTCCAAGAATATCTGCAGGGCCAAACTGAGAAGTTAAGGACCTGGTCATACAAGCTCATTTCTAACCAAAAGTGCCATTTAAATAAATGGGATAATCCCATAAAGCACTGAAGGATCAGCACATTCATTTCTCTTCATATTGATAAAGTATTTAGAGAGTTGCAAATACTCAAAACCTTAGGGATGGTGCTTTCAAAATGTACCAAGGTTATATTAGTGGCCCAGCAAATACTTTACAGACAAGTAAAGCAGCAAAGTCTACATCCAGCCATTTTCAGTCCAAGAATACACCCTTGAACACCTTCAGTTTTACAAAAAATGTCTTCTGATCTACAAGCAGAGAAAACAGAGGTGGGTAAGGATGTGAAATCAGCTTTAAAAAAAAATAAAATAAATAGGTAATCAAAATAGCATTCCAAGCTGTGGCTACCATACCATCCTAGAAAGTCTGGTCCACAACTTGAACTACTGATCAAACTGTCAGTAGAATGACCTCTGACCTAAGTCTGTAAAGCAGAAGTCAGTTTTCACACTGAAGTGTGAAATTTATCTCTCTGTCTCAGGCTTTTACAATGCCTCCACAATGTTTTCTATATAGAGGGAGGTACTTGACATGCATCCTTCTTCCCCTTGATAAGTCACTCACACAAGTAAGAAACCTGTATGATATAGGGCAACAAACATGTTACACTTTAGTGAAAGAGCAATCCAAGAAAATAAACTGAATGTTACACTGCACCATAAGTGCAAAGGGTATGGCAGCCTAACACAAGCAAGAAAGTGGGAAAAAATAACAAACTCAGAGGAAAAGGTTGTATCTTGAAAACTCCTACCCCCAGTCTGTCTGATCTCCTGGCAAGTTTTAGAAAGATGGAGGTTTCTTCAAACCACCTTCTTGGAGAATTCCCATACTGGGAGTCACAGAAACAGCAGCACGGGACTAAACATTGCAAGATGAAGCTCCACACCCACAGAACAGAAGCAGTAACATTTTGGTTAATGAACAGACAGCTGCAGCTCCAACGCCAGCAATGCTGCTTTGGCAGACTTCAGCAAAGACTTCTAGGTATTCACTCTGCCAGTAGGTTTCAGTCCTAACATACTGAGCAGTCCCAAGCCTTCTCTAAGATACTTCTCTAAGTATCCCGAAAGCTCTTTAATTGAAATGTTTTATGGAATGAGCCAAGTAAGAAACAGGCAATAAGAGACAACTACTTTTCTATTTTGACTATAACTGTGTCTGCAATACAACAAAAGATGAAGTAGACACCTAAAATCTTGGTAAGGATGAAACCCTTTGAAGATTGTGGCTTATTTACATTTAAATAGCCAAATTTAAGACTCAGAACAGCAACTAAAAAGCATGCTTTACAGAAAACTGTTTTTAAATGGTCTGGTTTACCTGTGAACCTAAGGTGAAAAATATATCAGAATAATTTAAAAATTAAAAAAAAAAAAAAAAAAAAGGAAAAATGGTAAAATTATGAACTTTAGTACTTAAGTGCATATTGTCAGGAATGCACATTGCTGCCTTTGGCACACTGTGACCAGACACATCATGTTAGTAATAAATGCCAGGACTAGAAGTTCAAACAAATTGGAACTTGTTCCATTGCGATTTTTGTAAGGAAGAAACAGAAAAGTCAGTTGTCACAAGTTTTTTTTGTATATCCTATAAAGCTGCTTATTTGCAATTCCACCAAGTTTTGTTAGCCTGTTAGCATTTCATTAGCTCAATAATGGGGGAGAGGGGTTTACTACCATTATGGCTTCTGGAATGTGTACAGGAATTGAATGGGCATGATATTAATAGCAAAGAAATTAATTAGAGAATCAGGAGCTCC